GCCATCGCGTTATCCACCCACCTACTTTTTCCTGATAGCCATTTGCTTGTGAAATGGGGTGAAGTTTGAATTTATTTATTTGTTTGTATCTTTCCATTGATGTTTAGGACAAACAATGCTAAGTAAATTTAAATGCATTATGACTTATTTATTTAAAAATGAATTAGATATTGTAGTTAATGAATAGTTTCAGTCAATTTATATTAATTCAAAGGCAAACTACCGTATTATAATAATATCGCAAACATAAAAAATGTGAGCATTACACAACAGATCAAAAAAGAAAGAAATTATTTTAGATAATTTTCAGTATTTCACTGATGGTTTATATGAATATTTAGAAATTAACAGTAATGGGGAAATGCATCAATAGACAGTTTTGTAGTTTTCTATTACCATACTCTTTAAACCATAAATAAACTTCAGTTTCGTTCTAGATTTGAAATGATTGTTTTGATCGTTATTGTCGTTTACCTGTAGTATTATTGTTTAAAAATTAGAATTTCATTGAATGATCTGAACCTTCAGTTTTATTTTTTTTTTATAGTTAACATCAAGAATATCACTATAACATATAATTTACATATTATGCTAGGTGAATATTATGTTATCCCTTCAAATTTCATGATTCATGCATTTTTCTACGTTTAAATCGACCACCTTCATGGTTTACGAAATGGGCACTAATCAGTAATCAAGAATACTTAAAGTGGGAACTAAACTTTCTAGTTTGAAAGTTTGATTATTACAATATATTTAAGTTAAGAATAACAATTCAAATCACCTATTGTAGTTGATATGAATTACCTTGTTTACGTACATGTTATCATATTTTATTCAAAAGTATAAATTTAATTTGTGAAAAAAATTAAATTATTTTTGGTTGAACTATTCAGATGAAATTTTAAATCAAAAACGTTAATTATTTCTCACGAAAACAAACAAACATCGGCAACCACTATTTAATACTCAATAAACAAAGATATTAAATTATTTTTGAAAACAAAACGATCGTCTAGTGTTACTAGGTTTCCCATGGTGGTCTAGCTTCAATTGACAAATGATTTCAACTATATACAGACAAATTACTGAAATCTCCACATAACCCCCTTCTGAAAAATATTCATTACAAAATAATTATTTTTAGCATTACTTGCTAGTTAATAAATTTACAATTAACCAATCAGAATCATCTATAACTTTCTTGAAATATAATTGTCTGATTTAGATTATTCAAGGTGTCATCTCTTGATTGAATAAGCTTCTTTGATTTATTTTGTTTCTTCTTAAAAGTTCTATTGAGATGTATGATTCCGTGATGTTTTAATTTATCATTTATCATTCTTTTAAACATGAAATAGAAAAAATAACTGATAGATCATTATCAAATTTAATATCTTTATATATATTTGCCTGAAGGTATAAATATTCAATCAATCATACCTTATTATTATCATTATTATTTAAGTAGTATTATATCAATCAATTAATATGCATAGATTACAATTTTCTTTAAAAGAATCATCAAATGACCGAGAATATTTTCAATTAGAATCTTTAGTAATCAGAAATAGATGAAAATTGAATTGTATCCAATGAAAAATATTGAATTTTTATTTTTTTATTATTTTTTTTTGTTTTTCTAATTTGATCAAAATTTATTTTGTTTATTTACTTGGCTACTAAATTGTTTAACGTATGACTGATTTCAATGTTAATAGTTAAACAGGTAGAAAATCTATGAAAAAAAAACAAATTTAAATATTTATTAGAAAATATACTGTAGACTTGATAATGAAAACTAGTTGATGGGAAGAAAAAAAATCTGACGGAAATAATTCATTTCATTCAAGGTCTATAGATAAACTACCTCTACTAATGAGTAGACTGTTATATCGAGTGGAGTTATTTATTGATATTGCATAGAATGGAAAAAAATTGGTTTATCATCAATATACAATCCTTTAATCATTCATTAACTACATAAACATTGGTAATTAGTGAGTTTGTTGTAATGAATACCTCCAAAAGAGTTTTGATAGTTTACTAAGGGAAAGGAATCTAGAAAGAAATAACTATTTAAAAATTTGACAAAGTTTTGTTCTCTGAACTGAATCCAGCTTAAAATCATCGACCTCAGCTACAAATCTCCGTCATCTCAACTATCAAAACATTAATTTAATGAAAATATAGTTTTATTTCGATTTGTTAATTTTGATTAAACTGAAGTTATTCAGTGGTATTATCAAGTTGTTATTTAGTTAAAATAGTTGGTAACTCATCAGTTTCACTGAAAACCAAATGTTTTAGAATGACTGAAACGACATAAATCCTTAAGTTTATTACTACTGCAAAACCTTCAAAAGATAAATGACCTAGGGAAGAAGTCATTCCAAGAAACTGGTGTCTTCTACTGCTATTATTAAGATGATGGAAAGTTAGTTATTAACCTGCATAGAAAATTATAACATCAATATATGTAAAACTTTATTATATATCTACCATTAAAAAATAACGAATTTTAATGTGACCGACAAGTTCACTGAATTCTTAAGTTTATTCTAACATTTAAAGATGAGACTCCTCCTGTAGGTCTTCTAGAGTTACTGACGCTCTCAAGACCACACAGAGAAATAGAGTTGTGTGTGAGGTCGGCGACCCCATTCCGTCGAAAACAATCTTGCTAAAACAACAAAAACTAGATTAAACATAAATTAAGTAGTTTAAAGATAGTTATTCATACAGCGCAATATAAGAAATGTAACTTTAACGTTGCATTTTAGGTAATCTTGTAGCCAATCAGAGCTACGGGCTAGAGTATAAGCACACTTCCATAGAAGCTTTTGTTGATCTCTGCAAAATAATTTTAATGTCATCATCTGACTGAAACCCTTGGTTTAAGTATGTCAAATATAAATATAAACCTACATTTATATGTAGATTTTGGGGTCTAAGCACCCCATCATTACCAGTTATAAATAAGATTTTTGTTTTTAAAGGTTATATGTGAGTTTGGAGAGAGTTAGGCAAGCTAATTTACCGAAGGTTCATTATGGATTTTTGACTCTTTTTTTGAATGACAGTAAACAGATGCTTTAAGAACTCCAAAAAATAGATTATGGTACCAAAGATAAATCGTTTGAAGTTGGTAATACTCAAGAAAATAATCTGAGAAACCAAAAAACTGAATAAAATTTCACCAGAGTAAAGTATCATAGACAACGATGTCATTTTTCAACTCTTTAATTATTGCACTGATCCTAATAATTCATATGGAAGTAACAGCTTCTTTTAAAAAAACTTAAAGATTTAATAGCCATGACCTCTATTCATTATACAAAACTGAAATTAAGACATACATTTCTTGTTCACGGCCAATGAAAAATGACTATAAATAAATGTCTGAGGTACGTTTCCAGGAAATACTAGTTAGCTAGTGGATAGTCAGTAGCAATTTTAACATTTAAGTCTCTACAGATTGATAGTGATGAAATCGCTTTTTTAGCAGTCTTCTTATTTTGTTTCGATTATTCATTGTAATAGAAACAAACAGACTAGCATTTTGGAGCTAAAATGAAACTATTTATAAATCAAATAACTATGACTGTTTTTCTAAGTTTCTCAAAGTTTTTCAACAGATCTGAAAATTTTTTCTGGAAGTTTTCAAATTTAGTAATTAGTTACGTATGCAACCAAACAAAATCCATTAAAAGACTATTCGCATTATCGAAGAAATCAACATAGTTGATTACTTGAAGAGGCTGCTACTGGTATTTTGTACTTTATGTCTCATTTACCAATTAAATCGACATCGTATATATATATATATATATATATATATATATATCCCACAGGCGTAATGAGTTTCGTTTTCAAATGCTTGTTATATTGGAACCTATTTACAAATATTAAGCTGATTATTGCTATCAAGTCCTAGCTTTAAATAAACAGTAGTGTACAAATAATTTATAACGATTTTCAAAACATCTAGAGACCGGGTATTCTCATGAACGTAACCAAAATATCTATGTTATTCGTAATTATCGTCAGTCAAATTCTTATGTGCTGATCATTTAAAGTACCCAACTTTTCGGCACGTTCACTCTTGATTGAACCATTATCATTAGTCTAGATTAAATGAGTACAAATATTGAAAGTCCATTCTTATGTGAATTAAAATGATTATTATCTTCCTAGTTAAACATATCACATAAAAAACAATGGAAATGAAAACTATAATTACTTAACCCTTATTTTTAGTTTCCCCCCGTAATATCCATTGCATACACTTTATGTACCAGACTTTTTTGACAAGAACAATTCTAATTATTGTTACAAACAATTATCTGACTAATTAACTTTACAATTAAGCAGTGAGAGTTTTTCTCAAAGACATTTTAAACATATTAGTATTTTTATTATAAAGTAAATTATAGTTTAAAATCATCTAACATTAAAATTGTAGTGACTGGTCCTATGTTTAGCCCATATAGCTTATTCTAGCTTGCAGACGAGCCAATTTATCCATTCTTCTTGAATCACATTTGACCTTGTTAATTATTCACTTATCAACTCTTACTGTTTTTATGTGTGTGTGTGTGCATTTCTTATTCCATTCATCACACGTCTGTAACTTATTTTTGTATGACTATAAATATTGATTAACGCTTGATATAAATCGAGTTGTCTCACATGCCTTCTCTACTGAGCTCCATCTCGTATTCTCTCTTCTTTTCACTTCGTCCTTCTGGTTATCTGTCCAGATCAAACAACCATTCTAGTATTTAAGTTATTTAATTCCGTTATTCACCAACGCGACTTAAGTCGATGATTATATACGAGAATAGGCGACATATATGTTTCAATAGCAATCACAAACGATCCAACTGTAGTCAGATACAAGGAGGCCACAAAATAATTAAACATTTCAGATTTGTTCCGTTTATTTCTATACAGATTCCATTTCAATTTTCTTTTTCTTGTTTTTCTTTTATTACCAGGATTGATTAATATTTTTCTAATACAATATCTAACTACTGCTCGTAAACAATGTTTTAATTTGGAACATGAATTAGATTATTGTTCTAGAAAGCACAAAGTTCATATACCAACAAGTCAATTATCTGGTTATAGTTTTGGTTACGGTTCATTAAATGACACAGAATATATGTGCCGGTAATTATTTTATCGTTTTTTTCTTTTTTATTTAAGATTTCTAAACTGTTAAACTGTTATTTTTCTTTGTATTGTAAGATTGGACTTAATTTATTTCCATCGAATATTCTTAGTAAAGTATAATTCAAAATGTATAAATTTCTTTCACAGTGATTTCTTGGTAAAAAGTAGACATTTTTATAGGTTTGTTAACTGAATGATTTGTTTCATATATATGACATTAATCAATTAAAACATCACTTTCATTTTATCAACATTGAAATTATTCACTTATCATTTAGGTAACCAGTGGAGTTGGGAAATATTAACTTGCTGAAGACATTGGTGAATGGTTGCTCAATTTCGTGAATTGGTTGAAGTTAGATATTAACACCGTTGAATGCCGAATCAGTGGTCTAGTGGTTAAGCTCTCGCGTGCAATACTAATAGGTCTTGGGTTCGAATCTCACTACTGAGGAGTCCCACAATAGAACAAAACGGCCGTTCAGTGCTTCCATGTTTTCCATGGTGGTCTAGCTTCAATTGACCTATGAACTATATAAAAATATCTATTAAATCCTTTTCATCTAATATAATCATTTATAATTTATTATCTCTTCAATAATTAAACTTTCGTAGAAATATTATAAAATAGTTTTTTTATTTGGAAATACCTAATGATAACTTATTTCATTGGAAATCGAAAATAGCGATAATTATTCTATTGTTTCCAAGGAACATATTCATAATTCTATAAGGTAAATAATTAAATTTTAATGAATTTAAGTGAATAATAATGAATAATTTATAAGTGTAGGAAACAAAATATCAGAGTAAATAAATAAATGTTTGATGTTATAAATGCAACGAATTATCGCACTGCAGACATGTACAACATTTATATAATGTTATTGTTTACTGTTATAAGAGATTATGTATTAGCATTTAGAACGTCACCGTACCCATAAACAAAGACTATTAGAGCATATTAATTAATAATTATGATTTGTATTTGATCAAGATACTCTTCAATTAAAATAATTAGGCTTTGAAATGAAAAGACGTGATTTGTGATGTTCAATCATCATCTTATCACAGTTATTAATCATTTTAGCACATAAAGAACTGATTGAAATTGAATTTGTGGTTAACTTTAATCAAGTAATCCAAATATTTCGGACGAAATTGACATTTGAAGTTTTCTGGTTTTCACTGCTTTTTATCTAAGCTCACTTCATAATGACAATAAGTTTATCACTATAATCAATCTGTAAAACAATATTTCTCATGTCAACTAACATCAATAACACTCAAAGGCTTGTTTATTTGTAAAGTTAAAAACTATACAATGTAAAGTTGTGTGTTAATGTAATGATTAGTTAGTTGTATTTTCATGATAAATTTCACTGCATGTAGTCTGAAAATACCTCGATTTCTAATTAGTTTGGCGAAAACAAGCAATAAAAATGTATAAAATATAAAAAATGTGGCTTTACAACTACCGATGACTTCATTCTGTTAAAATAGATAGTGGATAAAAGTAGAAACTGGAGTGCTCTTGTCGTATTATCTTTTATTCGTCAGAGAGGTATATCTGCATCCTGGAGATTATATCTACACCAGGATTTGAACTCATGACTTAAAACGCTCCATTCAGATAATAGGTCCATGCGGCTACTAGCCTGTGCGACAGAGATAAGGCTTATTATTTATTGAAGATAGAGATTTAGAATTTAAAATCAAAGGTAAGAGGTTCGAACCTCGGAGTAAACATCAGCTACGAAATACAGGCGTAATCAACTAAATAGTTCTAAATAGAACGAGACTGGCATCCTGAACTCTAACGCTATTCATTACTTATCTTTGCGTAAATAACCATGAACTAATGACGATATCTACACAATTACTTCAGGAGCATATATTGCAAAAGTGGTTGATTAAGATTTGGTCCATTATATCATCAACAAAGACACTCAAACACATACAAATAACTAATATTATAGATTTTCATCAATACCATAGGGTGGAATAATAATTAATATGTTCAAGACTGGATGTTATTGACTGAATTTCGATCGCAATAATATTTCTGTTCTTGTGTTCTTTTAGTTTACAACTTTATTCACACATTCAGTATTCTGTTTTATGTATATATATTTATTTATTTATCAATATTTTCAGTACTCGATGGCACATATTAGTATTTCATTGTATGAGAAAAAGGGCTGAAGAATCATGTAATCATTCTGATGAGGAGAAATTTCGACAAATTATATGGTCCATTTCTCTAGATACAAGAAAATTTGAAAAAGCTGCTGCATATATATGTCATGAACATAATTTAAGAAGTAAGTCTTGTTATGAAACTCAGTAAACTATTCACAATATCCAATATATATTCAAATAAATCATAGAATGATTGAACAATATGAAGTGAATACAATTTTGAGAATTTAATTTAGAATTTAGAATTTGATTATATTTTTTTTAACGTCTGTTTCTATATTATACTAAATATGGGAAACTTTGTCTTCAAGCAACTGAAATGTCAACTTTAGATTGAAAACAACAACACTACGAGCAATGTTAATATCAAAATAATTGAACAGTATTGTGCTTATTCGGTGATTAAATATTGAAGTGAAACACTAATATACTATTGTCAAATCACGTAAACCAAGCAGACGTTTTAACTACTGAAAAATAGTCTACCACTCCATTATTGATTATGGAACAGTTATCTATAAAGCATTAAGATGACATTTTAAATGTCCTCAATTAATATTCAGTAAGCTAAAAGCGATGAAAATAAAACTATTAAAATCATTACTTGTCTTCATAACAAATGAAACATTTTCAAGAATCTATTGTTTTACATAGTTGAAATCATGAGTCAATTGAAGCTAGACCACCAAGGAAAACCTGGAAGAACTGGACGGCCGTTTCGTCCTATTGTGGGACTCTTCAGCAGTGTGCATCCACGATCCCACCTCGTGAGATTTTAACCCAGTAACTATCAGTCTCGCACGCGAGCGCTTAGCCACTAGATCAATAAGTAGGCATCCAACGGTGCTAATGTCTAACTTCAACTATATAAAATTACTAGAATCTCCACAAAACCCCCTTCTGATAATCTATTGTTCCATTAATAATTAAAAGTTAAAGTGTATACATGAGGTTAACTGTAGAAAGAACATTATTAATTCTAACATTTGAATCAGTTGTTAGGATAGTGTCTATTCGATAATTATTTTCCAATATTTAAGTATCGGGTTAAACATATGACAATTATTTATAGTGATAGTGAAATCATTGATACTTACTTACTTACTTACTTACTTACCTACTTACTTACTTACTTACACCTGTTACTCCCAATGGAGCATAGGCCGCCGACCAGCTTACTCCAACCCACTCTGTTCTGGGCCTTCTTTTCTAGTTCTATCCAGTTCTTGTTCATTCTTCTCATGTCTGTCTCTATTTCTCGGCGTAATGTGTTCTTTGGTCTTCCTCTTCTCCTTTGACCTTCAGGATTCCATGTGAGGGCTTGTCTTGTGACACAATTAGCTGATTTCCTCAAGGTGTGCCCTATCCACTTCCAGCGCTTCCTCCTGATTTCTTCCTCCGCTGGAATCTGGTTTATTGTCTCCCACAGTAACTTATTGCTGATAGTGTCTGGCCATCAGATCCGAAGTATCTTGCGTAGACAGCTGTTGATAAACACTTGTATCTTCTGGATAATGGCTTTCGTAGTTCTCCACGTCTCCGCCCCATACAAAAGAACTGTCTTGACATTTGTATTGAAAATTCTAAACTTGGTGTTGGTTGACAATTGTTTTGAGCTCCAGATGTTTTTCAGTTGTAGGTATGCTGCTCTCGCTTTGCCGATCCTCGCCCTCACATCTGCATCTGATCCACCGTGTTCATCAATGATGCTGCCCAGATACGTAAAGGTTTCCATATCCTCCAAAGCTTCTCCATCAAGTGTAATTTGATTGGTGCACATTGTATTGTATCGGAGAGTTTTGCTTTCCTCTTTGTTTATATTGAGACCTACTGTTGTTGAGGCTGCTGCTACACTGGTCGTTTTATCCTGCATTTGTTGTTGCGTTTGTGATAGAAGAGCCAGATCATCCGCGAAGTCTAGATCGTCAAGTTGCATCCTGCCTGTCCACAGTATCCCATGATTTCCTCCAGATGTTGACATCTTCATGATCCAGTCGATGACCAAGAGAAAGATAAACGGTGAGAGTAAGCAACCTTGCCTAACACCGGTCTTTACCTCGAATGAGTTGGTGAGTTGTCCCCCATGGACGATTTGGCAGTTTGGTCCATCATAAGAGTTCCGTATGATATTGACTATCTTCTCAGGCACGCCGTAGTGTCGAAGAAGCTTCCATAGTGTCGTCCTGTCCACGCTATCAAATGCCTTCACGTAGTCGATGAAGTTGATGTAGAGTGATGAATTCCATTCGATTGATTGTTCTACAATGATACGTAGAGTTGCGATTTGATCTGTGCACGATCTATCCTTACGAAATCCAGCTTGTTAATCTCGAAGTTGGGCGTCCACGGAATCCTTTATCCTGTTTAACAATGCTCTGTTGAAGACTTTTCCTGGTATTGAGAGAAGAGTGATGCCTCTGTAGTTATCGCACTTGCTGAGATTGCCTTTCTTTGGTATCTTGATCAGAAGTCTTTTTTTCCAGTCTGTTGGTAATTGTTCTTCGTCCCAAATCTTACTGAAGAGGATGTGTAGTATCTTGGCAGTTGCTGTTACATTTGCTTTCAGTGCCTCTGCCGGGATGTTGTCTGGTCCCGCTGCCTTGCCGATCTTGACTTGTCTAATGGCCATGCTGATCTCTTCAATTGTTGGTGGGCCAACATCGATTGGGAGGTCTGTGGGTGCTGCTTCGATGTTGGTGGGTTCAGTGGAGCTGGTCGATTCAAGAGTTCCTTGAAGTGTTCTACCTACCTGTTTCGTTGTTCTTCAATGTCGGTGATTACTTTGCTTTCCTTGCTTTTCACTGGTCTTTCTGGCTTACAGTAATTTCCAGCAAGTTTCTTTGTCGTATCATACAGTTGTCTCATGTTTCCCTCTCTTGCAGCCTTTTCCGCTGTCATTGCTAAATCTTCCACATATTTACGTTTGTCGGTTCTGATGCTTCTCTTCACTTGCTTGTTTGCCTCTGTGCATTCGGCTTGTGCCTTGGCTTTTTCTGCTCTGCTTCGGCTGATATTGATTGCTGCCTTCTTGTTCCTCCTTTCTTCAATTTTATCCAGTGTACCAACAGTGATCCATTCATTGTGATGGTGCTTCTTTTGGCCCAGAACCTCCTGACATGTTGAAACGATTGCCTCCTTGATACCTTTCCAGTTGCTCTCCATGGTAGTCCCCTCTCCATTGAGTAGATCATGAAAGGCCTCGAAGCTGTTGCTGAGGGCTATGTTGAATTTGTTGAGTTTGTCAGCATCTCGAAGAAAGGCCGTATTAAACTTTTGTGATGTTGTCCGCACCGTTGTCCACTGCTTCTTGAGTTTTAGTTTCATCTTGGCGACCAGCAAATGATGATCGGATGCTATATCAGCTCCTCTTCTGGTTCTCATATCCTCCATCGTCCTCCTGAACATTATGTTGATGCAGATATGGTCGATTTGATTCTGTGTAGTTTGATCCGGTGAAATCCAAGTGGCTTTGTGTATGTTTTTGAGTGGGAATATGGTGCCATTTATGACCAGTTTATTGAAGGCACATAGGTTTGCAAATCTCTCACCATTTTCGTTCCTTTCTCCCAGTCCATGTCGTCCCATGACGTCTTCGTATCCAGTGTTGTCCATTCCAACCTTACCATTGAGATCTCCCATCAGAATTGTCAGGTCCTTGGTTGGGCACTTCTTGAAGATCGACTGCAGTCTATCATAGAATTGGTCTTTAGCGTCTTCATCGTAGTCGTTGGTAGGCGCATAGCATTGGATGACGTTCATTGTAATGCCCTCTCTCTTTGTTTTGAAGGAGGCTTTGATGATCCTTGGTCCATGAGATTCCCATCCAATAAGTGCATTTTGTGCTTTTCTGGACAGCATCAATGCAACTCCTTGTGTATGTGGGGCATTTTCCCCTTCGTGACCGGAGTATAACAGAAGTTCTCCTGAAGATAGTCGTTGTTGTTCACCCTGCGTCCAATGTGTTTCGCTGATTCCAAGCACCTCCAGGTTATATTTTCTCATTTCTGCAGCAGTTTGGAAAACTCTTCCGGTCTCCCGCATTGTTCGGACATTCCATGTACCTATAAAGAGTGTTGCTCTGGTGGTTAGAAGGTGCATCGGTCTCGTGACTTCCGAAGAATTTCGGCTTTCATCATGAGAAGTCATAATTATTCCTTCTACTCCCAGGGCAGAGTTTGAATGTTTTGAATTATTTTTTCTGGTTAGCGTTTTTTGGCGAGTTGGTTTTCTACGGGATGGGGTCTCTAACTCCATGCCCAACCCTAGTCATTATCTATCTTTGCTTACCATGCTTGTGAATTATGGCTATATCTAGGCAATACGCACAGTATGCACATATGCCAATTAGAGACTGATCAGTTGCAGTCCTAACACATCGATGGGAAGATTCAAACAAGTAATATTAAGTGAATTTTAAAACTTAAATAATTCTTGAAAATATGCTTAAGAATATCCCATTATGTGCTAGATTTAATTAAATTTAAACGTTCAACCTGAATGAGCAATAAACAAAGTGCTCAAACTGTTTTCTGACATAGTTTTGGGACTGGGTAACAAATTAAACAGCTTTATCGATTTACATAAATCTAATATTTTAATTCTTCTTTAGTTGAATACAAATTAAAATATGATGTCTACAATTATGAAGGAGATTAGACTTAACAAAAGATTGTTTTTCTTGTTGATACAGATTAGACAAATATTTCAATATGTCATCCGGGTCACTTAATATCCCAAACGTAGGTACTAAATCCACAAACTACTTGGTGTAGCACATAATACTAAACATTGAAATGACGAAATATACGCGTCTGTTTTAAATGTCTTCGAAATCTTAATCGTCAGAGAACTTACTCTATGCTAAGATCTTTGTAATAAACCTAGTTAGAACAATTTTATCACAGATAGTTTTGAAATTTACTGAATACCATTGTAACTAAAACCCAAAAAGTTTGACATAATTGTATCGTAACGTAAAAATTGGGTTACTGATGTTATTCACTGATATTCCAAAAGATTAATTTTTGTTTGTTAATACATTAATTATTCTCTATTGTTCGGTATTCTTACCGTCAGAAATTTTTTATTCTGGTCTAGACTTTCTCCCATTTTGGTTGTATTATTTCTCTACTATCAATAGAAACTACTATTTCCTCAAATTTCAGGAATACGTTATTAATCATACTGTCAATGAGAAACTATTCACATAAAATCAATGAATAAAGTCATATACTTTTGTTTTTTGTTCTACATTATATCTGCATATGCGATAGTCTTCATACGTCATATTAGCGAGATAAATATCTGGATATTATAAGTATTTGTATTGTTTACTTAAGGTTAACAGTCAGATGATTTATCCTAAATATTATCCAACGTTATGAAGAACAAATATCAGGGATTAGAAAATACTAAATAGCTGTCATATCTAACCGTGTTTAAATAATTTAATTTCTCAATAAGTACACCCAATCAGTTTTGAGTAACTCAGTGTTATGACAAGCAATCGTATTGCATGTTAAATAATAATGTTTTGATCATTATGTGCATATTTATACATATCGGTTAAGTGCTCTGGCGCGAGACTGATATGTCCTGGGCTCGAATCTCTTTGGGCGAGGTAGTGGATGCACACTGCTGAGGAGTCCCACAACAGAACGATACGGTCGTTCAGTGCTTCCAGGTTTTCCATGTTGGTCTAACTTTAATTGACTCATGATTTCAACTAGGGAAAAAGAAATACTGAAATCTTCACAAAACCCCTTCTGATCATATTTATTTTATTCACTTTCTATATTCATCAACAAAGTTAATAATAAACTTAAAAATGCACATGAACTATATATATGTAGGCATTTAATATGAAGATAAATTCATTTTCTTAAGGAAATCTTCAGATATAGAACTTCACTATGTATTCCGACTATCAAATAATGTCGCTTAACACTTGAAACAAAAAGATATTAGTACTTGTCAATAAAACTATTAGTATTTGTGGTAAATCTAAGTAATTTTTCTCATACAATGAAAACAAATGAAACTGCAATTCAATTATTAAGACATCTACAGTTAGTATAAACAACTGGGTTAATACTATAACCAAAACTATACATTAATATAATTTGTGTATATTAAGCAATTGAATACAAACTCTTTACGAAATAAAACAATTATGCTCAATCTTCAATAATCGTTAACAAAAATGGTATACAGACATTCCATTTTCCTTAAGATATCTGAATAAGTAACTTGTATAGTAAATGTATATGAAGGGTGTAATTAATGAGCTCCTAAGTCGTTAGCCAAAATACAGCACAAAATTATTCATCATCATGAATGTGTTTCAGAATAATTCATAAAATCGTTTAAAGATCCCCATCATATTAAAAGATCAATATTTAAACGAAGAATATTCTTTTCGATAAATTCTCTTCAGGTTCTACAATTATATATCCAAATTAATAATCCGAAAAAATGGCCAGATTAAAGGCAAAGTACATCGTTTAATGCATGAAAATTTAGGATTGTCAAATCAGATAGAATAAAATTGCTAATGTTGATATGACTCGTATAGAATGTTGACTTGAATCTGTATATATGTTAAGTGAAAATTTAAGATCTGTGATCAGAATAAATAAGGGTAAGATAGGGTGAGAGAGATATGATAGTGCAATTTGATCGAGTAGAAGATTAAATTGTGTGAAAAATTGGTAAGACTTAATAAGGAGGGATGAATGTGAAGTGAATCAATCATGTATAGGGGAAATTAATAATGGTGTTTAACCAATATTAATAATAATAATACAGAGATTTGTGAATAAAGATAAGAGACAATTACATTTGACTACGAAAAATCGTAAGTGCATAGTCAAATTAGGTCATACAATAGCTAAGATTATCGTTGATTAATTGGCCTAGTGGTTGGCTAAGGGAGGAGTAGGGGTTGGAAATATTTCTTCTGTACATATAGCTCAGGTTTCTTCATTCCGATGGCTACTGCCTCCGCCGTCTGAAGGACTTTAAGCCTGACAAGCTTTGACAAAAAATTACTGACCCTATAAATAATTGAAAAGGATTGGTTTATACTGGCACTATGACCTGTTTGTACTAAAGGGGCCAATATCAAGCAGTTTACTTTCCCCACCAGACCTTTACTTAGCCACGCTGGGAGGTGTTCACGAGGACGAAAATGTAAATTCCTAGAACTTCGACCAATATAACTTGCTCCACAGGAGCGATCGAAGTTCGATACTTTAATCTTATCTTGAAATATCTGTACTTATAAAACTGTATGTATAACAACTCATGATCATAGTTTTCAAAATAAAATTTTTAAAAATACTTAGTTCAGTTTTACAGTCACAAATCTTCTGAACACTAATTTCTCTATTTAAATTACTCAGAGTTTTCTTTTTTTTGATCAATTTAGTAGGGTGCTTGAGAGAGCTCACACAATTTCCAGACCTCAAAATCCTTATTCTCACCAATTGGCCTTGATTAAGATGTATAGAACTTTATGTATGTTTATGTATTTTAAAGGGAAATAAATACATATACAAATTTACATGTTAACCATATTAATGTTTAACTTCAGAAAAACACATTAATCACAATAAATGTCAGTCTAACAATCACAATTTATAAGTGAATTATTACAAGCCATATTATTTTGATGAATGATTTCACACATTGGAAACATGAAAATTATAAAATACGGGAATGTATAGTCATAAATTCCACATTGTTTGGCAGTTATAAGTTTTCTTTAAAATAAAACACCGTCATATTTTTGCTTTGAAATTTACATGACAGTTGAATAATCTCACGTTCGAGTTTGGTATTTAGTTACATATTTCGATATCAGTTATTCATACCTCATGTGTATTTTGTATGATTTATGTAAAGAATATTTTCAGTTAACTGTACTTACTAGACTTATTTCTTCAAAATAAAGATCCATGCATATTAATTATTACAGTGTATATTTGAAATATAATACGTAATCTGACTACCTGTTTAATTTGTGTTATTACCGACATTATATTCTATTCTTAAATATAAGAAAAATTAGAAGATAAGATATACGCAAATTCTTATAGAGAACTATGTATATGTACTTGAAACGAATAAAGATTTCTACATTGTATTTCCCGCAGTTCTAGTGAGAAGCAGTGACCAGTGGAGTTCAACCAGGTCTGTTGTGAGGTAGTCATTCACGAAAGATAATGGTGGACGGTTGTTCGATTTCCTTGGATTTGTTGAGGTTAGGCATTAACACCGTTGAATGCTGGATCAGTGGTCTAGAGGTTAGGCGTTCGCGCGCAAGATTGATATGCATTGTTCGAATCTCGTGAATGCACACTACTGAGGAGTCCCATAAAAGTTCGAAACGGCCGTCCAATGCTTCCAGGTTTTCCATGGTTGTCTAGCTTCAAATGACTAATGATTTCAACTATTAAATTACTAAAATCTCCACCAAACCCATTCTGATAAAAAAAAAGAATTTTTTACTTTCAATAACAGTTTTGATATCTTTTGATACCTTTACTATAATATTTCTATTTTAGTTTTACGTGAACATCAGTACAAATGTTTAAAACAACAAGAGAAATTAGCTGAACAATGTGCAGTTCATAGAAATGAAACAATCAAAGAAGTTGTATTAGCATTACATAATCAATCTAGTCGTTTATTATCTAGTCCTAATGAATATTATTCGATAATTAAACATACCTTAACATCATATGAATGCAAGTAAGTTTGTGCGCGTAATATTGACAAATTAATAACTTCATTACATCAGAAGGGGTTATTGTGAAGATTTTTGGTAATTTTATGGTTGAAATCATTAAAAATTTAATGGTTACCTTCTTAGAGAATTACTGTTATCATAATTTGCAATAATTAACATCTTCTATGTACAATAATGAATTCATAAATAATTCAATTAATCAAATTATTGTTTTAACATATTTAGGATTTCATTATTTACTATTAGTTACTTAAATAGTTATAAGATTATAATCATAGGGGAATACTTTAATTTCAATGAAATTCATTAAATATAAACATTTAATTTTGTTATATATTGTATATATATGATGTAGTTTATCTAGTTGTAACTTGAAACCTAAATACTCAAGATGATACCATTAAAATACGTCTAACTAATACTTCAATTTACTAACATTTTGAGATCATGAGTCAATCGAAAGTAGACGACAGTGGAAAACCTGGTTCATGGATGCGCACTACTGAGGAGTCGAACAATAGGACGAAACGGCCATTCAGTACTCACAGGTTTTCCACGGTGGTCTAACTTCAATTGACTCATGATGTCCTGATAGACGTACAGTACTGATTAACTACAGTGTAAAGTCATTCATAGAGGGCAGCTGCACTCTAAGTTAGAACTAGAATCAGACAAGCCTGCATGCTCTCCTCCTTCCTCTTCTGGTGATGGACTGGATTATAAAGTCCTTTACATTTGGGGGGGGGGAGCACGAAATACAATGAACAGCTTGCATGCAACTAGACTATTTAAGCTTCACAGATGATCTAACCCTTCTATCCCGTACACATAAAGACAACTAGTGTAGTAACAGCCTCTGCATCAATGGGCCTCAACATTCACAAACGAAAAAAATAAGATCTCAAAACTCAACACAGAGAACATCAACTCTATCTTAATTGATGGAAAAACACTGGAAATGGTGAAAACTTTCACGTATCTGTGAAGCATCATCGATGAAGTAGGAGGATCCGATACAGATGTGAAGGAGAGAATTGGTAATATCAAGAGCCGCGTTCCTAAAATAGAGAATATTCAATACGAATGCCGATTCAGTTAATTCTACTGTACGAAGCTAAAACGTGAAGAACTACCACAACCATAATCAAGAAGGCACAAGTATTTATAAACAATTGTCTACTCAAGACACTGAATGTCCGTTGGCTAGATACCATCAGCAATATCCTACAGTGGGAGAGAACAAATCAGCTTCTAGATGAAGAGGAAGTTATGAAAAGATGTTGGAAGTGGATCGGACATACATTGAGAAAATCAACAAACTGCATCACGAAGCGATCCCTAACTTGGAATCCTGAAGGGAAACAGAAAAGTGGATGACCGAGGAACATACTACGTCGGGAATCGGAGGCGTAAGTATGTAAGGTGTGTTGAAAAGCTTATTTACAATAACTTAAGAGAGCCGATAATCGAAATATACAACAGTCTTTCAACCTAACTAACACACTTCTAAAAAGCTTGAACATTATTCAACGTATAGAGGCTCAGTACATTTTGTAAACGCTTTCACTGTGAGAAAAATATTCCAGCGAATAATTATTATCAGAATACATATTAAATGCAAAAAATAGTATAAAATACATAAAAAAAGTTTGTAAAATATGTTCGCATCTCAAAGTTAGAAGGTTAGTCTCTAAAGGTTTGATTGTGCTTCTCCACAACACCATCAGCACACACTTCGAAAGGAAGTGGATAATAGCTTGTTCCATTGATTTGATCCTTTTTTCATAATAGTGTTTCATAACTAACTTCCTCTGGAACATTGATGCTATCAATGAACACGAATTTGTAATATTATTCAACTACATTATACCGTTTTATCTTTGTTTTACTAAAGTCATATACCTTCATTTCCATAAACTGATATTTTATATAATCAAAGCCAGATGACGAATTGCTTATCTATTGAATTTTTAGACTAAAAATCATTTTCACAAATCCCTAAAATTAATCATTTTCATATTCTTTTTATCTAGTACTGACAAAATATAAAATATTTGGTTAAGATATTTTTATCTTTACCCGTAATTGTCATTTGTAATTGTCACGCGAAAAATACTAGAAAGAACCCGTGGTCAACTATTGACTTCAGAGACAAAATAATAAGTTACATATGAATAAATAAACAATTTTAATTGTGTATTTATCAAAACAGTTGTGAAATTTCATCAATGATCATTCTATAACTTAGATGAAAAGATCAACTTAGTTACAATTGTTGAAATATTATTTGATCAATAAATATTTCCCTTAGCGATTGATTCATTACAAAAGAGATAAATAATAAAGTATTGATATCCCTAGCAAAAAAATTGATTTTTAAAGTCATTATCTATCCAACTTTAAGCTTTGATATATATACTCAATGATTCCTACGACTGATGACAATTTGACTTATTTGTTAAATATTGTATTAAATGTATTCTGTGAAATCGATCTCCAAGAATAATAATACATACATACTACAGGGTTATACGTCTCAAGGTAAATTTATAATCCGAAGTTAAGTACTTGGAGCTGTATGTTCTTCTTTTCTGTTGTTCATTAGGCTGTTAATCTTGACAGATACGTACATATATATAGTGCTATTAAAAAAAGAACTCAGTACATTCCATGTAATGTAAATTCCTAGTGCTTTCAAGTGTATTTAACACCTCACTATCCGTTCAACCGAAATTATCTGTCTAAACCATCACATTAAATAACAAAACGTATTTGAAGGAATATTTGTACACAGTAACGTTTTCTACAGGTTTCACAGTCAATAAACCTGTAGTTATGCTTAGCAATTACTTTATCAAATTCAATTTACTTTTTGAATATTCAATGCAGATTTTTTTAAATCTGCTTCTTACGATCTGACGTCATGAAATATATTTACTTTTCCACATTTGTACATAAATATACCTCATAATGAATCATGGTTGGCATAAATGAAATAATATTAGAATGATAACACCTGTTTGTATCTGCTGAATATCTAAACTACTTTATTTCTGAAATTAATAACACGAGTTAATTTGTGCAAAACTATTCATCCCATGGAGGAACAATTTACATAAAACTGTACTACATCAGGAATTCAACTTTCTGTTGGTTGGAATGTTTTAAATATACTGGTAGGTGGTCTATACTTCTCAACGAGTGGTGACAGGCGTAAGTAAGTTAGTAATACTGGTTTGTGCTACACCAAATAAATGAACTGAAAAAGAGTGAAACTCAAATTTAAAACTGGTCGGATATAATCTTAAATTAAATTGACTATTTACATTTATCTATTTCAATTACAAGTACGATAAAAACAAACAAAATGTAGAATAAATAAATAATATATTTGTAAATTTTGTTTCAACTACATGCTGTATAACACACGTGAAAGTAACGCTGAATCTGTCAGTTGATTGATTGTTTTTCAGTTCAAAAGAAAAATGCATTTTGATAAAATTAAATTTTCACAGCTGAAATCATGAGTCGATTGAAGCTAGACCACCATCGAAAACCTGGAAGCACTTGACGGTCGTTTCGTTCTATTATGGGACTCCTCAGCAGTGTGCATCCACGATCCCGCCTCGCCAGGTTCGAACCCAGGACCTACCATTCTGGAGCCAGAGCCCTTAACCGATAGACCACTCAGCCGGCATCCAACGGTGTTAATATCTAACTTCAACCAATCCACGATTTTGAGCGACCGCTCATCAATTGTCTTCAATTAGCTGATATCTCTACAACAGACTGGCCACTGCTTCCCACTAGAACTCAAGGAAATATCTCTTGAAGTCAGTCACTAGTGAGCATTGCTGAGGAGTCCCACAATAGGACGAAACGGCCGTCCAATGCTTCCAGGTTTTCGATGGTGGTATAGCTTCAATTGACTCATGATTTCAACTGTGAATATACTAAATTCTCCACAAAATCCCCTCTGATCTAAAATTAAAATACCGAAAATTCCCATATTATGAACTAGAATAACATAAATAAGCGAATAATATTGTTTTCAATTAGATTCCCATCATGCTTTACTTTAATATATAATAATATTTATATTCATATATGCAATTACTAAACTAATCAAGGCAATTTATGGATAAGTGATAACATGGGAATAGATTAAATGAATAAATAATAAGTCATAAGTCTAAATTGATAGTTTGATGACAGGTATAAAAGATGTGATAAGAAGAACCAAGACATAAATCAATGTTTCATAATAGGAGTAAGTCAATAACTTGGAAAAATAGACATTATAATAATATTCATTAAAAATCATTAGAATTATGTGAAAACAGAGTAAGTACTCTTACATTTACTTAACAATAAACATTAAGAAATTATATTTTCGTGTGATTAGGAAATTGATAACAAATTACATTTTCTTGATGTTTTAAAAAGAAAGGGATTCCATCAATAAAAATGAGCATAGAAACAGTTATTAGATATGCCAGTATATACATTTTTGAGCTTTGTATTCATTCATTATAGAAGAAACCTAGTTAGATGCCTTGCATGTAGACACCATGAACAAGGATATCTGATGGAACTATCCCCTGTTTATCATTTTCTAGCCGAGTTATGGTGATTCTAAATTATAAGTTACGTTGTTTCGCCAAATCCATGTGTATCTACTTATTCAGCTGCTCCTGTGCAGAAAACTATATTGTACTTATAACCAAACTACTGAGTCAGCCAGTTAGTGATCGCCTCACTTCATTGTTAGGAAAGGATACACTGAAAACAGTACGCATCTTCGTTCTATCATACTTGATTGATAACAGTCATGTAGTAGTCAGGATTAGGTCATTTAAAGTAATTTATCGAATATCTATCATTTTTCCCTTATGGGGTTCGATCTTATCTCTTACACAGCAGGAGCTATAGGGATATGAGCTAATAACCCTAGTCTTTGTGTTCATAAGAAATTTGTAATACTTTTATATTTTCTTTGGACGAATCAACCCTAACAGATGATTTTATTTATTGTTATTTTCCATTTGAGTAAAATTAAAATATCATTCCACTAATATGTCTCTATAAACATATAAATTATTATTTAATCCATGAGCATAAATTTAACTGTAAAACTTTAAGTTTCATTATTACAAATCTATTTCCCTAAATGAATGACATGCTTATTGTTGGTCTCTTATTAGGTCACCTTCAAAACTTTGTCTAATTGTAAAAAATTAGGGCTTGAATTTCAGTTTGCTAAAATAGAAAACTTTATATTGCCATTCATCAGATAACATTTGTTAATAATCCATTCTTTTCCTGTATATGTTTCTATCAATCATGTATTAGATTGGCTATTGTATTAAAACAACACTAAAATATCAAGAAACATATACTGATTCATATTTGGTTAATTAAAACAATCAACTTCAATGGTCAAGCAATTGGATAAATAAGTAACTCAATTCTTAATGAACGACATAATTTCAAATGAGCTTCTTTAATTTACAAGGATAACTGAACTCAATTTTATCTGTAATAATCTTTCTCGGTTTGTTAATACTACGATGCTGGTATAAATGTATAGTTTTAAATACAATCATAAATGACATAGTAGCAGTACGATAAGACACGTTCGTAGTTACTAACTAGGTGATCTAAATTCTTCATCTTACCGAAATAAAGTTTGATGTTAACCGAGGAAGAAGTTAGGTGAAACAACGACGAGTTAGTGAAACAACGACGAGTTAGTGAAACAACGACGTTGAACATTCTTTTTATCTACTATTTGAGATTACTAAATATTCAATATCATTCTGTTTTATTCATGTTTCCACTTTTCTTGTTATATTAGATCTTGTTTTTTGAACTTTTAGATCTCTACGAACAAAACTGGATTGTTTATATAATATATTACACAATGCGTGTCCATCAAATGCAGTACGATTAATAATGAATTATTTTAAGGAGACATTACCTGATGGTTGTACATTTAATTATGAAACACGATTATCAAAACATTTAGAATCAGTACAAATGACTCAGTTAATTAATAATGATGAATATATAGATGAAAGGAATATTATGAAGCAAACAGTCATTCATAACTTTAATGATATTCAAGCAAGTTCAAGCAAATCTGTGAAGAATTATGCTTGTTTGATAAATTACAACTTTTTGAACATAACGCTTACAGAACTTATTATTGTCTATACTTTAATATGTATTAATCATTGAACATTTCTTCCTTGTTAGCTTTTTATTTGTTTATGATATATGCTTATAATATCAATGAATGAAGTTGTCACATTATAGAGTATACTTTCTGTAAATAACCATCTAATTTATATTGACCAACATACTAAACTAGAGTCCAAGAACATTTATCAATTCGTTCCATATTGTTCAGTATTTATGTGTGTGCGTGTATGTGGAAGATGAATCTTCCATATATTTATCTATCAGATTAAATTGTATTGTATTGAGATTGATGTAAATATATTTTTTATATTTTGAACAAACATACTTTGAAGCTAATAGATAATAAGAATTAAATACATGTTATACACTATTTTATTTTGATTTAAGAACAATAGGGTTATTGATTATATAGTCTTATAGGTATCTAGAGTAAGATTATTTATGGGGATCGATAAAACACAATATGTTATGTGGTCTACTTATATCCTCATAAGTAGTATATAGTGATGGTCAAACAGAGAATGTATTTTGGCAGAAGACCGATAAGGAAAGAACTGAAATGAAGCGCGATTGTTAGGAAAATGCATAAACAATTAAATTAGAGAAGATGAATTGATATTTACAGAGGGAACAGTGAAGATTGAGACAATTAATTGTTATTTTGCAAATTAACTAATTGATGTATGGTTATCAGGATTTAGTGAGATAGTCTGTAATTTGTGCCTAAAGATATTCGATAGTCCCAACTAGTGTTCTTGTTCACTACAAATAGAGTTAGTGAATGAGGAGTTTTAAAATGATGAATTGAAGTAACCATAAATGGGAACAAATGCCATAAGTTTAATATTTTTACTGTCGAATCAATGTTTTGAACTATCTTAATATCATTTTCTTCTATAAGCGATACATACGGAGTAGACTAATTGAATGTATTTGAAAGTCTAGGTAAAACTAAGTACGAAGCTTGTCAAAAAATAATGAAGATCGCTAAAGAAGTTGACAAAAGAATATGTGTAAACCACAAACATTTTTTTAAGGAAGTTGACTTTGAGAAGAATTACTGTTGCTTCTAAAATACATTGTACGCTGATATAAAATCAAATGCCATAAGTTGATTTCCTAATTAACCCATATCAGTAATTTGTCTGACGTTAGTACCAATAAATGATTCAAAGATAGCGGTCATTGCATTCTTAAGTATTGACTGAGATTTTGTTATATCCTAGAGAAGACATGAGTAACTTCCGGGACCTATTGATGGACGATTATTCTATATATATTCGTATTATATAACTATTGAGTAATTAGATTATGTGTGTTTATATTCATATTATTATAAGCTTTATTCTGACCTATGAATTATTATTATACGAATTACTGTTCCTAAATTATACTCAGTTTATAGATTGCTGTTTCCCACGTTCACAGCCACATTTGGCTTGTTGTGCAAAGACTATTTTCTGACTTATGGTATGATGCCGTCTGTCTGTCTATCTATATGTAAACCGAGTATACTTGAAATAAATGATTCACATCGCAGAAGCTGCTATTGGTGTTGTGAACTCAATTGGAAGGGCTAGGCACACAAGAAACCAAGGTCGTTAGACTGCTCATACCAGTTGAATGTCATTGATTTGGCACAGTGTTAAGATTGGAAAAGTCGTATTTCGATTGGTGGATAACTCACTTGATAAAAAGCCGGATATAGAATCGTAACGAACTGGATACGGCCTTCTTATTTTATAGTCATAACAAATTTGCGACGGTTTTTTATAAAGTCAAAACAAATTTACATACACAAAATCCTTTTTCATTATTTTAAAACACCTACTACTGTTAATTTAAATAAATAGATAAATAGAACTAAGGAAAAATCATTTTTTCTCTAAGGTTCCTAATAGCTTCAATTTTCTTATTAAATAATTTTCTAGAATCATTTAAGCTTACATCTTCATGAATTTTGAAAGGTGATGAACAATTTAGAATTTTAAAATTTTTAGAAGAAGCTAGTTAAAATGATTTCTTTTATTAGTCTAACTTAGCTTTACATTATTAGTGTTACCATAGTGTATATACACGGTAATATACACGACAATATAATCGACTTCTCTCTTTCCTAATGTTTAATCTTATTCATAAAAAACTTATATTTAGATCCTTTATTATAATGATCATATGCTCACTAGCGACTGGCTCCATGAAGTATTTCCTGGAGTTGTAGTGAGAAGCAGTAACCAGTGGAGTTCAATCAGGTTTGTTGAGTGATATCAACTCATTGAAGACATTGGTGAATGGTTGCTCAATTTCATGGATTGGTTGAAGTTAGACATTAACATCGTTAGATGCCGGCCAGCTCAGAAATCTAGAGGTTAAGCATTCGTGCGCGAGACTGATACGTCCTGGGTTCGAATCTCACGAGGTGGGATCGTGGATACACACTGATGAGGAGTTCCAAAATACGATAAAACGGCCGTCCAGTGCTTCGAGATTTTCCATGGTGGTTTGGCTTCAATTGACTAATGATTTCAACTATATATAATTCTTGTGTGTTTGAAAAGAAACTAGTTCAATTAGTTATAGACCTCTTAAAAAGTTAAATCATTTATTTAATCTTTAGAATTTACCGAAACAAGAATATATATAAATATATATATATATATATATATATATATATATATATATATAATTGTTTATTAATCCTTATCATTTCAAAACATCGATAATATGAAGGAAGTATATTCTATTTTTTTTGGTGAATAAATTCTCTTCAGGTTCTACAATTTTAGATCCAAATTAATCATTCCAAAAAACAATTGGCCAGATTTAAAGTAAATAAATGGTTTAAAATTATAACAAGATTATTTGGTAAGATAAAATAAAGCTATTAGTGTTAAATTGAATAAATTTATAAATGATTATAAAATTAAAAGATTAATAACTAGGATAAATATAGATAAACATAATGTGAAATAGTAGTAATGCAATTACAAATTGGATTATAAATATTTGGCGGATGATAATATTAATGTATAATGTATAGGATATGAATTCAGTAAGAAATAATAAATTGAGATGTGTGTTAACTAAACTATTCAAACATTTGGAAGGTTATTAGTTATATTGAAATATGATAATGATGGTAAGGATACTGTGATGTGGTCTACTTATACTCACATAAGTCGTATATGATGGTGGTCAGACAGAGAATGTATTTTGGCAGAAGATTAATAAAGAAAGAATAGAAATGAAGCACACTCGGTACGAAAATGCGTGAACAATGAAATCAGAGAAGATGAATTGATATTTGCAGAAAGAACAGTTAAGATTGAGACAATTAATTGTTATTTTGCAAAATTAACTGTTCACTGTATGGTTATCAGAATTTAGTGAGATAGTCTGTAATTTGTGCATAAATTGTTATTCAATTGTCCACTAGTGTTCTGTCCACTACAATACTAACATAAGTAAATGTGGATGAGAATATTAATGACAATAATATTTGACTAAGATTGGTTTTATGTCATAAAAAGGGAAAAGTGTATACATATTAGTTAAATTGGTTGATATAAAATCACCATCAATTCATATTGGAATTATGACTTTGGTTATTTATTTTCTGAAGAAGTGGCTTACACTAGGTCATGAAACGTCAGAAAATCTAATTTTTCGACTCATTGGGATATTACAAATATATTACTTATTTATAGAAATTATGACATGTATATACTTCAAAAGCTAGTTTTTACTAGTTTTTATCTCATACTTACGTCTGTTACCCCTCGTGGAGGAGCATAGGCCGCACACCAGCATTCTCCATCCAACCCAGTCCTAGGCAATCCTTTCCAGTTCTTTCCAGTTAACATTCATCCTCTTCATATCTGCTTCTATTTCCTGGCGTAATGTGTTGGTTGGCCTTCTCTTTTCCCGTTTCTTTCCGGATTCCAAGTTAGGGATTGCCTCGAGATGCAGTTTGTTGATTTCCTCAATGTATGTCCTATCCACTTCCAACGTCTTTTCCTAATTTCCTCTTCATATTGAATCTGGTTTGTTCTCTCCCATAAAATGCTATTGCTGATGGTATCCGGCCAGTGAATTTTGAGTATTTTGCGTGGACAACTGTTTATAAATATTTGTGCTTTCTTGACGATGGATGTAGTAGTTCTTCAGGTTTCATCTCCGTAGAGTAGGACTGTCTTGACGTTCGTATTGAAGATTCTGACTTTGAAATTAGTTGACAGTTGTTTTGAGTTCCATATGTTCTTCAATTATAGAAATTCTGCCCTTGCTTTGCCAATCCTCACCTTTACAATAATTTAATATCACTGTATGGGATTAAAAATATGAAAGCCGAGATATTTTTTATCCCATACAGTGGTATTGAATCAATTCTTTTGATTTTCACTTGATGAATTGAGAAGGGTAAATACTGTGTTTATATTAAATGGAGTACTATTCAAAATTAAAGATCATTAAACAGTTATTTTGTTCACAACTTCCCTTTTAGTCACTTTTTGATACATGATAACCTCCAACAAGACGCATAAGCTACTGTCTTTAGCTATAACTTGCATGACACTAATAGTCAAACACGTCATCGTAACTGGGATGAAGAAAAATGCATAGATCAATAACTTTCATTTTGAAAGCTCAATTGTATTTTGTTCACCACTGGACTTGAACGTGCTTGAATCGATTGTGTACTTAATTGTAGGTAAAGACAGTTGATGAGTCATAAACCGATTCCCTTTTGAATTAATAAATGGCTAACAATATTTGTTTGGTAATACAAGTCTACTTGAAACTATTCATTTTATTGTTTCATATTATATGCTTAGGAGTAAATGCATCAACGTAAACAATCTTCTCAAGAGTAATGACAAATAACTGTTTTCTTATCACTTATTATAAAATGAACTTTTATAGATTTCGGCTGCATAGGTTATTAGATTACTTGCTTAAGTCCAGGTATCTATGAAAATAAGGAATCAACAATTTGGGAGTTTATTTTATAGTAGGAGTCAGTCAAAAATTCAATT